AAAACAGTCAGGACTAAGAAGCCAAGCCCCTTCCACCAAACAGTTTAATACCTGAAGAGCTGAAAAGATGAATTTCACCTATATAGCTTGCACTTTAAAAATGTAAATGAAGTCTATACATGGAATTCCTCTGTGACAGCTTCCTCTATTAACAGACTAAGTCATCCATCTGTCACAGGGAGAGAAAAACCTATTTGCCACTCAAAACCACAAACTCAACAAAATTGCTCAGAATACTCAGCATCACCTCAGTGCATGGTTAGTAAGCAAACCACTTAAAAATAATGAAACAATTGGCAGCACAAGACAGTGATCAGGGCTAAAGAGTAAAATGTGCCTTGAAATGGCATCAACTGCTGCAGAGGCTGGCTGGGATTATTAGCATGGCATCATTTACAGTTCTCACACCTTTGCTTTCTCCTGGAATAAAATGAAATAAAAAAATTGTGGTTTCCAGGATAAGTATATATGCCATAATCTCAAAGTACCCATCATAATGTATTTCCATTTTCTACCCCAGAAGTAAAAGGTAGAACTTTTCATGTTGCAGCTTTCCCCTCTTAGGCAAGGCCAGCCAGAAGAGTCCTTGCCAGCATCTCACTTGCCAGACATAAATTGAAGAGAGAGGAAGCCGTGGGCCTGTCCCACTGGTTGATCAAATCACATTTAATCATATCAAGGCATCTATTTTTTTTTTCATTATTCTGTTTGGTTGATATTTAGAAACAAAAAGGCAACCTTATTTTAGGAATTTGGTAATTAGAATTATATTAGTAGATCAAATTGACATTTGGAATTAATTATAAAAGGGGGAAAAAGGGCTTGTGCTCACTCTTGATCTTTTAGAATGCAAAAATATGGTCTGATAAGCATATTTGCCATCTTGGAAACATCAAGGTTTATTGTGATTTATTGGCTGATATTAAACTAACTCCTTATTTAATGATCTAAGCTGAGATCATGGCTCCAGAGAAGTAGACATTATACATATATATATATATGTATATATGTATATGTATAAAATGAAATTTCTCACACAGTTTTGATGCATTATTTAGCCAGTATTACTACTACTTTTCCTAAACTTTGGCAAAAAATCAGGGAACAGCTGAGTTCTAAGTGTTAATGGAAGGTCTTATTTACCAACAGCAAAGCAGCCTTCTGCTGGATGTCTCTAAGAGGGTAATACTTCAGTTATTACTGGCTTAAGCATGTATCTTATATGATCCTGCTAAGTTTTTGCCAGTGTAAGCAAGGGGTGACTGCATTCCTTAGTAATCTGTGATTGTTTGAACAAAGAAACAGCATAAAATAATAAAGTTTAAACAATTAGAATTATTATAGATATATTTCACATCTACTATATATAACTGGATATGAAATATGTTTCTTCTCTCATTGGTTTATCTTTACTTCGGTGGTAACTCTTTAAAATGCCTTTTGAGGGTTACAAACTGTTGTGTTTCTATTGATCCCACAAAAGTTGTCCTCCACATGCCAGAACTGATCCAGGTCCTGTCCCTGTGCTGGGACCAAACACAGCTGTTGGGAAGCTCAGAACTGCTGCCAGGTCAGTAGAAGATATTGGTTTAAGTGTCTTTCTTAAACATGTCCAGACTATTCGGTTTTCTTCAGTAAGAAAGAAGAATTTCTTTTTTCTTAATTTTCATCCCTGTTTTTGCTTCTGAAAAACCATTATCAGAAATGCCATAGTGAGTTTGTGAAGCAGAGAGTGAAGACTGTGTGCATTCCTACTGACAGCAAGATTTCTACAGATTTCAGTGTGTCCAGGTTTTGCCTCTGAGCACTCCACCATGTTTGCTATGCAGATGGGATTTCCTCCTGCACAGATCCTGCAGCTGGACCTGGGTGGGCAGAAGCAGCTCTGATTTCATCCATGCTGTCCATAACCCTCTCTGCCTGCTGAGCTGCACACATTGCTGACTACTGAATCCTCAAGGTGAAGGACAAGACAAAAAACATTTTCAGGGATTTGAAAGGATGGAATTAACAAGGCAGGAGAATGTAAGTCTAAAAGCCAGGATAAACAATACAAAGACATTTCTCTTCCCTTTCAGGAAGCTGAAAGGAAAATTGTCTGGAAATGTGCAGCGTTGATGGACAGCCTGCTAACAGTAAAAACAGGAGTCTCTGAAATGCTAGGAAATAAAAATTCATTACCCAAATTAAGAAATATAAACTTGACAGGTGCTTCCTGTGGATGTGGAGATGAGGGAAGTAGAAGAGGGTTTCTCAAGTAAAGGATAATGACGATGCAGAGAGCAGGTAATTTGTTTCTTCTCTCCAAGGCAGCTCAGCATGGGGGGATCCTGCCCTGCTAATGAAGCCGTGCCCGCGCTGCGTGCGATGGGTGCTGCATCTGCAGAGGGGCTCGTGTCACTGAGTGGAGCTTGGGAAAGCTGAAAATTGCTTTCCTCAGGCTGCAGCAACTTCCCTCATCTACAGGAGATGCTCAAGGGGATCAGTCCATCTCCCTGTTTTCCAGCAGAACAAACCCAAGTCATGCTGGAATTGTTCATCAGCTGGGAGTCTGAGGATGTAACTGTGTGTTTGCCTCACCTCACCGACACACACTGGCTCCCTTGTGAAACATTCCACAGATTTTGTCCAGTCTGGCTTCAAAAGTGAGAGGTTACAGGCTCCTTCCACTTCTGATCTAGTGACATTCAAGGTCAGGGGTTTTCACTGACAAGGAGTTTTGGTTTGCCTGAATGATGTAACTTCATTCTTAATTGCATTATTATAAATTAAGGTTTCATAATTATTTCAGTCTTGCTGCTTCAGTCTTCCAAACCTTTTTATTGGGAACTAATGTTCCTTTAACCTTAAACCATAATTTAATTGTGTTAAACTTAGTTACCACTGTTGCTCTCCTCTCCAAAATAAGATCTTTTGCTATTTTCTGCAGAACTTCCTGTATTCTGTCTCTTGTTATATGTATTACACAGCACAAAGACTTAAATTTTAACTTGCTTCATCTCTCCAAACTGGAATTCAGATACTACACATCTTCAGATATATAAAACAAGTACCACATTTCTGCCATGCTCAGGGCAAACTACTGAAGCAGGTTTATCTTCACTGTCTAGGGCTCCCTGTGGAGGATACCCTCCCTCTTTTTGGAAGAGAACCATTCACTTTAGAAAATAAGTTCCAACTTTTTGAAAATTAAGGTGATTAAGAGAATATGTTCCTCCAGCCTAGCTCAGAAACAGGCTTCTCTCTTTCATGTGTTTCCTTATTTTTCAGCCTATAAAATGTTTCACTAGAGGAAGGGGGCACCATACAAACCCCTATTGAGTTATGATGCTACAGAGCAGAGAAAGCTAGCAAGATGAATCTACTTTTTTTTGTCAGAGTTCCAAGACACTGACAAAGTTGTGAGTTCCACAGCACTGTTGTGGCAGATTTTATACCAGCAGCAGCATTAATAACCAGCAGGAATTCAACGAAGCGTAGTTGAGAATGGATGTGCCATGCTAGCAAGGGCAATCAAGTAGCCCAGTGAGACACCATGTTCCAAGATTTTATACTCACAGACCTGCCTCCAAAGGCACACATCTAACTCCAAAGGCAACCAGTCAAAACATGTAAAATTTAAAATTTCACACTCTCTTTTTGGCATTTCCAAGAAGCTTATGACACCTGAAAATTTTAATCCACCATATGTTTCACTTGATACCTGAACTGCTCTTCAGTTCTTTCTCTCAGCATTCAAAGGGAGTCTCAGCTGATAAAAGATGCACCAGGAACACACGGTTCAGGCTGAAAGGGCTCATACAACCTGGGACAGATTCACTTCACTGAGCATTAATCCACTTTAATCCAATTGGATCACATACCAAACCAGCAAAATCCTTGAGGCTTTGACAGCACCAGTTCTGCTGATATTTAAAAGTTAACAAAATCAGTAGGTCCTGTGCTACTTGTATCTACACTGAGAACTCTGCTGATAATCTGTACAATGAGTTAATGAATATGAAGTAGAGACCACACACTGATAGCACTCTTTTTTTTCCCCCCAATGGGATGTAGAGCCCCAAAATCTTGTATCAGAATGCAAGTGCCGAAAGATAACCATGCTTCAATAACTCAGTCATTTCAAGAATATCAAAGTAGGAGAAAAATATAAGATGCAAAACATTCCATTTTGATACAAATTCCTCACTGCTTGAGAAAGCAAAGTCTCCCTAAATCTCTGAATGGCTCATGCAGGCACAGCAGATAAATGATCTGAGGTGGGAGATGACAATCTCTGAGACCAAGAGGATGGGAGAAAGATGCAGAGAGCTATAATGAAAGCTGTCAAGTGCACCATCTTGCTGTAGCACTGTCCTTATGAAAGATGTAAGAGCACTTGCAGATGTTAAATACTAAGAAGGAACAGCTTAACATCCAAGTGCAGCTCTCAGAGGGGATCCTACAGAGCAACAAGATTTTTAAAAGGTTGATGAAAACTAGAAGGAAACCAAAAGTAGAAAAAACACACCACAAACACAATTTAAAAGTATATAAAAACATATAGAAACCCTGTGTATACTCCTTCCACGAAGGCCCTGAAGGAAGAAACTGTGCTTACTCACCCCCATGACATTTGTCTCCAACAAACCAATGCTGTGACTGACACACTCTGCACTCAAATACAAGAGAAAACCAAGGCCTTGACCAGCTGCAGCCTTTCTGGAAGGATACCAGGGCTCCCAGGAAAGAGCTGATGTTAAATCTGTGCCTGGGATGGCTCCAGCCTGCCCATTTCCCTAGGTCTCCCATTCTCCTGGGCAAGAGCATGCTGATTCAGTCCAAGCCCTGCACAGCACAGTACAGGAAACATGTTTATCCCAGAAGATGCTGTAGTGACAAACTCAAAATAAATGAGGACTTCAGGATCAAAGGCATGATGTAAAATGTTAAAACACATTCTGTCTCAAGGTCACGCATACAAAAATTATTACGGATTCTGTAATAATAGAAGCAGTTGCTTCACTGAAATTAATTTATTTTGAGAATATCCCTTTTAATCCTCCATGCATTTTTTAGCACAAAAAGTTGAGTTTTATCACAACCTCCTTCATAAAACTTAATATTGTATGTCTAGTAATGTGGCTGTTTCAACAGTTCCTCATTGGAAATTCCCACATCTGTGAAACCTTGGCAACACTGTTAGTAAGTGACCTACACAAAGTTTATTAGAAAATTTTTACTGAATATCCTCTGTTTAATGTAAACAAGGCAGGAGGCAAAACAAGGAGTATATATTTTATATAATTACACTATTTTACAGGGCACAGAAAGCATTGAGGACATGGTTTGAAAACCCTGTATGATATGCAATATCAGATATGGATTTTCCATGTAGCCCCAGGTCTACTCCAGGACACTTTAATCTCACCAAGTCCTTCAGGTTAGTATTTCTTCTAGCAAGACAAAGAGCACTAATAAAATGTCACCTGTGAGATTGCACAGCAGGTTATGGTAGAAATTACCATGCATTTACAAAGCCATTCCATGATTATTTGTGCCCTGTAAAATGAAGTGTGGCAATCTTTACACTAATCATAGTGTAAGCAAGCTCGGGATTCTGGTCCTTTTATATATATATGTATATATATACATAGGTGATGTACAACCAGACTCAAGCTGTGCATCAAGTCACAGCTTTTATATTGCACAGACAAATATAGAGTAATAACATTACACAGACAGAATCTGAATACCAGGAATATTACAGTCATAGGAGAACCTAAGGACAAACTTGTTCTACCAGAGCTAGCACATGGCTTATTACAAAAATTTCTGAATCAGAGTCTAAATCAAATACATACTATAAATGAACAAAAAAAAAAAAACCAAAACAAACCAATGCTTCTATTTACACACATGTGCATCAGGATTAGAATGTGGTTTGGATCTGCTTTTTGAAATAAAAAATTATTCTAGTATCCCATCTCAAGTATTTCAATCTAATACCCGTGGCCCCATCTCTAAGGTGATGAGCACTTGTCTTTCCCACTGACATCGGGAGGATCTGCACAAGCCATGAACTCTCTAGGCCAAGTATCTTCTCTGATGGCCCTCTCTGGGTAATAAATAACCACATACAAACACATGCACACAGAAACAAAATGGGCTCCTCATGACATGCATAGATCAAAAAGGTGAAAACATGGACCTGAACTAACTTCTAATCATTAAAAAAGTGCATGAAAAATATCACCACAAAAAAAAATTAAATGAGTTCCATCTCTTAAGAAAGATTAAAGCACTTTTACAAAAATAAAGGTCATCGTCATCAGTATGGTAATAAGGGTTTGTAGGCAGCACGCACAAAAGCAGTTTAGGCTAAAGCAACTTTAAGGATGGCTTCACTTGTGTGAGGATGGATCCAGGTCTTATAAATTTATCAACTAATTAACATGTGGTTTGAAAGAGAACATCACCAATGTCACTGGAGACTGAACAATCATAGCCTGAATTTAAGAGTGATCATAGTTCTATCTACTTATTTTTGCCATGGACAAGCTTAAGGAGCTGTGTTTGCAGCTCTGCAGTGCTTTGCATCAGCACACCACAGAGGCTGCAGCCTTTCAGGGTAAGTTCAGCTACCAGTGAAAACAGCCAAACAAAGGAAGTGATGTTAATGCTTTCATTTGAGATCAGGCAACTCTTGAATGGCTTTATCAATTCGTATATTACTTGGAATGCTCTTGCAAGTTTTGTTTAACATTTCACTCACTTTCCTTTACAGTAGTATTATCACTTCCAGTTTCCACTGAAACTGGGACATTACAAGTATTTTGGATCACATACTTTAAAAAAAAATAAATAGATGATTTGAGGAAAAAGTAATTAGGATCAAGCAAAACCAACAAAGACCCCAATTCAGAAAAGCATCAGCATTTCTGCTCAACTGCTTAACTTTGTTCATGTAAAAGATTGTGATTTAAGGAAAAAATACTTGAAATTAAGTTTATGTTTAACTATTTTGCTGAATTGGAACCTTCTAAATAACAAATGTATGTATTAAACATCACTCTGCATAGAGATCAACATGTTATAAACTATGTGTCAGGTATTAAGTAAGGTCCTAATGTGGACTGTCTGCAATGCAGATCACTAAAAATTATTTGCTATATTCAAGGTATGTTTCTCAAGAAGAAAATGAAATGCAATTTTTTCAAATTTTGTCCTACTATACTACTTGGACCTGAAAACGCTTTAGAGCTAAATGCAGAAAAAAAAACCCAAAAAACAGGTGAAGAAATAAAGCATGCTTTTGTTTGCCAGAGAAATGCAACAGTTTTTACAAAAGTGTCCCAGTACAGGGAGCCACCGAATACAGATTTTACCTACCAAAACGTTTCCCCAGTTCCAGAACTGCTTTCTCCAGCTGATCCTGGAAGCTTTTACAGCAGGATGCTCTTCACTGGTGACAAGAATAAATTTAGCCCATTAACTGTGACAGTGCTCTAATTAACCTGCTAACTTAGAAGGTCTCTTAATATCCAGCTTCCATAAATATTAAAAAACAAGACCTCAAAGGCATAGATAAAGAGCAGAATCTGATTCTAGGTACAGTCATGTAAATCCAGAGCAATTCTAGCAACTGAATAAATTAGTCCATGTTTGCATATGAGCAATGACATCTGAAATGGGCATTAGCTGTGCCAACAGGGGGCAGGAAAGACAAACGAGGAAAGATAATGTAAACAGAAGGAACTGAGCTCTACCTGGCCTTGTTCAAAGGAGGGGAAAGGGGTCCCACCCGCGAGTGTGGGGAGCAGGACAGGTCACTGGGCGTGACTGCAAAGTCCAGACAGGCTGCTGGCTGTGAGGAGCCTCTGGAGGGCAGAAGCAAAGCACCCTGAAGTGGCCTCTGCTTGCAATGCCAGTGCCTGCCCTGGCTGATGGCATTCACATGGAAAGGGAGTCACTGAGAGGCATTCCTGCATCCCAGCACTGTGAAAAGCAGTGCAAATTTTGGTCCTAAATAAGTTATCAATGCTTTAACTGAGTTGGCATCACTGTGATGGTTAGATAAGCAATAAAAATGTCTCTCAAAATAACAAAATGTTTATGCTGCCAATTTTCAAGGCACAAAGGATTCTTAAACCAATTCAGACCAATACCAATTTAAAAGAAATTAAAAATACTGTTTCAGCAACAACTACTGATGACCTATAATTAACCTATAATATAAAGATGACATAAGTCAAACAACTAGAGCTCCCATGTAAAAAGCTAAAGCTAATCTAGTTACATGGATGACCTGGAGACCAATCACTTGGAATGACAGAGACAAACATGCTACAAACATGTACACTTCAGATATATTTGTTATGGATGTGATGCCGAATCAGGATTAATTTCTTTAGTATTGATTTTAGACTGATAGATTTCTTGGAGTAAACCAATGAGGAATCAAGCTTAGAGCTGTACTTAAGATCTACCAAAAGCAAAATGATCCCTCATTAACATATCCTGTTGTATATGGATTGGTGGATTTTTTTGAGCTTCTTAATTTCTAATAACGTACGTTGCAAGTATAGGTATATTTTTCTTTCATATATCTAACTGAAAAGAAAAGGTATTAAGACATAAAAATGTTATAAAATTAATTTGCTTTTTTAAAAGTAATATGGTCACAAAGAGCAAATTGGTGCATGTGAGCCCCAGAACACACAAGAGCCCAAACTCTCTAAACATTGTCATCAGAATAACCAAGGTCTGATGGCTGTGGTTCTTCATGCAGCTTTTGCAGCTCTTCTCACAGGGTCTAGAAATGCTGTGTACTGGTTTCTCCCCAAATGCCTTTGCTCATATTCCAAGTCCATTTGCAATCTCAACATCTGGTGAAAGCAACTTGTCTTCCCAACACCCCCTGCCGCTGCCGGGAGGCACCACCTTGTCTCTGGCTGTTGTCCGCGGCCCTCCGGGGGTGGCTGGGCCGGGCTGCTCAGGGCGTGGCTGAGGTGTGGTACTTGACAAAGGCGATCGCCGCCAGCTCCTTGCAGAACTCTTCCAGCACAATCACGCCCTCTAGTAACGTCATGTGGTCAATGCTGGGACAGGAAGAGAATTGCAGGGAATCAGGATTGGCACACAAACCCAGCCACGCGTCTCGGAGAACGAGCAATGTGTTTACTCACATGGGCCCTTCTGGCTCCAAGCCCAGCAGGCGTTTTCTGACCAGCAGAAGTTTGGGAGTGAAATCTGGGATGCGCTGGATTCTAACCATGAGGTCCCCGACCACCTGTAAAGCCCAGGCCATCAACACACAAAGTTAACACCTCTGCAGAGTGCCTGGCAGCAAGGTTCAATGGCAGCTTCAGTGCCCACTTCAGCACCCTCACAGGCTCACAGAACAACCTGCAGAGAGCCTGCTCTGCCCAAGAGGGTGAGTGAGTGCAGAAAATAAAGAAATACAAAAGCCTTACTTGCTCTTGTCACAAATGGCATTACTTATTCTAATTACATCAATGGCTAATTTGTCTTTCTAAATGTTGACACAGGCAATCAACCAGTGAATTCGTGGGCCTAGGGAAAGCACATGGGGAGAGAGTGAAGGCTGTATTTTGGAACGGAGAGGGCTGCTGGGGAGAAAGGGAACCAAGCCCTCTGTTACTATTGGCAAGCATCATTATCAGGCTCCTGACCAGCTCTGTAACAGCTGGTGTGGGGGGTAAGCAAGGGATTCTGACTGAGGACCCTGCAGTGTGACAGGCACCCAGCCAGCACTTCTAGGATGCAAGTCTGGCAGGAAGAGATGGAATTGGACAAGAAAGGGACTTTTGATAAATCCAGGTCTTAATTGTCAAGAACACCCTTCATCAGAAAAAAAAAAGAGTATGAGCAGAGATACCCATGTAGGCCCAATCTTGATTCAAAATCAGCTTCCAATGACAAACATTTACCAACATAAAATACCCAGCAACTACTATAACTAATGACAAAGTTATTAAACATATTACTGCTGTACAGCCATGTGTAATTATTGCTGTGTTTACTCACCCTGACAATCACAGAGAAGAGAGACTTGCAGCCAGAGGCGAGGTTGACGTAAGGATCCAAAAGGTATTCGTGTATATGAGGATGGGGAAAGAGGGACAGTTTGGACAACACTGACGTAACTTGTAAATTTACATCATAGGGCTGCAAAAAGAGGGAAAACACACTGCTTAGTTATTTTCATGCTGGCTTCTTTTTATCCACCTCATGTTTATTTAACTACCAGAACTTTTTCCACAGGGTTATGAATAAATAAGGATAAAAAGTTAGATTAGAAGACAGGCCCAACCTCTGCTTTTCACAACAGCAGTGCTGTGACTATGACAGTCGGGCATTAGATGTTATTATCTGCATCGCTGCTACAACCGCTTAAAGCTTTTGCACACTTGTTTATTGCAGGGCAAGTCCTCTTCCTGTAAAACATTTCTTCAGCTAAAGAAATAGCACAGAATCAGCCTAGATTAAACATCTGCTTCTCCTGGGAACATGTAAAGTATTTGAGCTCAGGAAATTGCCAGAGACCAATCCATGTTTACAGCTAATACGTTATTTCTCTTCTACTTTATTTTTTTCTGGGGAAGAACCACTGCAGAAGGCCTGGCCATCTTGTGGCAGCAACCTATGGGAGATGGGACCAGTCCTGGGCTGGGAAAGCAGCAGGAAATTCTGAGCTTCTTGTTTACCTCCCTTCCCCAAATCAATCAAATGGGAGAGGCAACACTGTCAGATGCTGGAAAATGCTTATCAGTCATAAGGAATAAAACAGTACCTAAATTTCCAGGAAATAAAAGGCGCCTAGCTTAAAGGATTTGACCATTCTAGTAAGAAACTTATTTCCATAAAAGCAAGAATGTTCACCATGGCTTATTTATGTTTCAAAACTTTTCTTTTGTCTTTGGTTTTGTCATCTCAGTGAAAACAAGCTGACATTTTAATTCAGTCCAGAATTTGCAAACTAGTAGAACCTCCTTTCATTTTCTCAATGGCACAACAGACTAAGTTGACAAGACAAGGACAGACATTCCTTCGGTACATCTCTGTGTCAATCAATCTTGTTGATCTAAGTGGATTACAGGGCCCTCATTTAATCTCTGACTGCATATTGGCAGTAATACCCTCACTGGCATCATCACACCTGGAAGAGGATTCAATGACCTCAAATTCTCATCTTTATGCTTTCAAGTTAGCATCGCGCTGAAGAATAAGAGAATAGATTCTTCCCCTTTTCAGATCTTAGAGATTTGGATGAATTCAGCCTCAGATTAAGACAGATACATTTAGCCATGTCTACATGTCTAAGCTCTCATTAGCTGACTCACCAGAGATCTGACACTTCATACACCTGCCCACACACAAACATCTCCTGCTATCTCAGATGCTCCCAAGTATCTGCTGGTCTCTCGATGGTTCCACAGAGGGTGGATCCTGCCAGATCTGTGTTGTAACCACAAACCTCTGGGAGTATCTTGGACACCACAAAAATGGCAACAGATACCTGAGCTCAGGCACCTGAGTGGAGCTTTCAGTCCACAGAGTCGAGGAAGCTGAGTGATTCACTTTGCTCTGAAAGAGACACCTACTTGCCTTTCAGCCTAAGAGCCCCAGGGACTACTGGGGCTGCTCTGACAAAATTTCCACTGACTACATGTGCCCACATAAGTAATATTTAGGTATCTTATTCTTGAATTTGTTACCACACACTACTGCATTGCAAAGTTGCCTCATCTTTGGATAAATCTTTGGAAATGAAAGCACTTATTTCTTCCAGTCAGTGGCAGTTATTTCTGTACTTGGCACTCCAGCAATAGATTCATCCCAATCTCCTAACAAATGAAGCTTTCAGCCCCTGGACCACAGATGTTACAGGTAAAAAAGATCACTACATTTTGAGTTATTATTGCAGAGTTACTATGCAGAGAGAGACAAAAATTCCTTCCATAAATCTACTCACTGCCTACTAGCTGAACTATAGGAGAAGGTCTTTAGAGCTGCTTGAGTCAGCCAATTCATTAGGAAGCTTTGAAGGTATGAGCATTATCTGGTGTTCACAAGAGGAGAAGGAAACAAAGGAGTAACACGTGCTGCATTGTTCTGACAGATTGCTGTTGTGATTCCAACTAATTGAGAGCATTAAAGAAAGCCGCTTCTTCACACAGAGCTTTTATTTCTGTCCATATGTCAGCAGACTCAGTTAAATGGCCCCATATCAGATAAAGTCTAAAAAAATTCCCTGTAGCTAAAAAGATTAAACCCAGGAAATTTTGTAGTTCAGGAAATTAAAAAAAAAATCTTAGGGCACAGTCAGTTCTACTGCTGTAGAACTGCAATAGCAGGAGGAAGAAGGTAGTGTCTAGTACATGAGGTCTTTGAAACAAGTTACTTCACTTGTGTGCCTGAGCTTCTGTCAGAAATGAGGTTAGTGAGAGCTAACACCTCTGCAAAGCTTTCTGGTATCACAGATTCATATCAGAGTGTTCCCATGAACACTCACAGAGCTGACCCAGAGGCGACTCCTGGCTTCCTGCACATGTTCTCTGTGCATTTGTATGTGCAAATGGCTCTTGTCAGGCTTATGACCAGGAAATGGCACATTACACAATAATATGGCACTATAATAGACAGTGATCGGAATTCACAGGACCTGATGGTGATCAGCTCTTTAAAAGTGATGAAAGTATCAGAAATGGAATTCTTAACTTGTTTTTTCTTACCTGATCAAGAATCCTCCCCATTCTTTCAAACAGAACTTTCAAGAAGTGTCCTTCAAAAAATGACGCTTCTAAATTGCACTTTTCCAAAGATCTGGGAGATCCAGGCCACTCCCACCGTAAGCAAATGACACAATAATCCCGGAACTACAAAAAAGCAGTGAGAAAAACACACTTCAATTTCCATGGAAACCGTTTCATTTCCTTTGATAGTCCATACACCTGAAAACCATAATCTGTAGCTAAATGATACATCTAAGCTCTAAAAGATCAGTCATTCTAAAGTAAACACTATCAGTAAAACCACTATCAGCAGGCACCTCATCTTTCTGGGGATATTCCTGCCACTAGAGTAGTTTGAGAAGCAGTGAGTGGAGAACAGAGCTCCCAAAAACCAGCTGGGGCCAAAACACAAAGCAACACCAGCAATACACAACCTAATCAGAGTTCTTTGTAAGCAGGGATTGCATTCTTAACCATCTTCTTGAGGGTAGATTTCCACACTTCTACTGCATTATGTGTAGCTGATCTTGCTATTGAAACCATTCTGCTCCCTAATTCCCAGGACAGGAAAGGCACGTGTACATGCAGAACGTACAAACTATAAGTATTTCAGGGCTTCCTCTTCCCTCTCTTTGTTTCCTAACACTACTGGCAGTCTTTCTCTACCTTGTCCCATATTTGCTTTGTACTGCCTGATGCCTCACTTACAAGGAATTACACCTTGAAAGGTGCACAAGTTGAAACAGAAAATAAAGAACGCAGGAAAAAATGGAAGTAAAAGAATCAGAAAACAGACTCAAAAATTCTGCATTGATTGTAGCTTACCTACTACTGCAGGCTTCCAGGAATAACAATAAGGAAGCAGAACAGCTATTTGGATGTAATAACAGCAACAGGCAGGGCTACTCTTAGGGGGGAAATATTTTAACAGCAGCCATATCATCATCAGGAAGTGACAGAAACCAATTCCGCTCTCTAATAACTCCCAGTACACTCTTTTTCCCAAGACATGAATGAAAGACGAAGATAAGTAGTTTCTGGCATCCAAGAATACAACAGAGGGGAATTTTACATCAACCTTTGTTTCCTTATTCTCTACTTTCTATTCCCTTTCTTTTCAGGAGAGACTACAAATGAAGGAATATAAATACAGAAATCCAAATGTCCTATCTTTAGCAGCTGATAACATAATTTCAAGGTTATGGAATTTTTGAATTACCTACTAAATATAGCTCTCAGTTACTCTGTTCCTTTGCATAAATTTTTCTATTTGAGAAGATTCATAAGGTTTCAATAAGAAAGCCGCAAACAGTGACTCTCCTCTGACCAAGGAAACTATGTTTGTAAAAGCAAAACTTGCATTTACTTCTAAACAGTAAATCATAAAGCTTTCCCTGCCTACCCCACCTCCCAACTTCAAACCTGAATGCCTTAGGCTGTGCCTTCCCTGAGATGAGCCTTTATTTGCAAAGTCCCAGATTGCATAACTCCTATGCAGCATTTTAATTTCTCTTTAGTTCTTTCAAACAGCTTGGCAGGCAATTCTCCAAGAGAATGCAGATAAATGCAGAAGCAAATTAAGAATCTCTCTGCAGTTCAGGTTTTCTCTTGCTGTATTTGTTGTATGAATATTAATGCATTTAATGTCATCCATTATTCCCACTAGTGCAATATAAGGTGAATTCATCATCAAAAGATCTCCAAAGGTAAGTTTTCATTAAAAATGAAAATTGAATTTTCCCATCTTCCATTACCAACAGATGCATTTAATAGGACTATTTACAGAACCATTTGTATATTCTCACCAGCATTTCAAATTCTCAAGGAGTAAGGAAGAGTTCACTGACTTACTTGTCTGTGGGCATCTCTGAGGTAAGTATCATAACCTGTACCCTCCACATGGTATGATGACTTTGCTTCATCAGGTACAAGACAGAGAAAACTGAAGAGAAAAAAAGTACATTGATGACTATATTGCACAGAGCACCAGATCAATACTTTCTCATCATCTGCAGCAGTGTACACACAATGCTGAATTGTCTGGCCAATTAATCCACACACTCTACCATAACTTTATGTGAAGAACAGAGAACACAACATCTATTTAAGCCTACCTATTCCAACTACTATAGGTCATAACAAAGTATATACTTGAGAAGTTTTGTATCTGGCATGAGAGGTAAAGTCATCAGTGGAAGCATTTTCTGAGAATCAGCAGACAGAATGGAGATTAAAGGGAATATTCATAAATAGGTCAAGTATTTGCTAAAGGTCAGACTCCATGTTACTAGAACTAAAAAATAATATACTTGGGAATAAATGAGTCAAAAGAGGAATTACAGTCAAAATTTTTCTTAAACTACTTCATAGGTAGTTTCATTTACCAGTCTGATGTGGCAAAAAATGAACATCTAAGACACATCAGGAGTATTTATATATAAATGTCCCTGTTACAACTATAATTGCCTTTAACAGTTGTGTAGTCAAATACTCTGTCCTTATTACTTCACCAATGTCTGACGTAAAATGCATCAGGAAATTCTGAATAATATTACTTACATTAAAAAAAATAAAAATTAAACCCATTGAAATTTTGGGAGAGAAAATAAAACCCAGTCTTTGGACCTTGATTCCAAATTTCAGCCTTCACTATACCCCAAGAACTGCTGGACGCTCCTGTAGAATTTATATGCAGAAATATGTAGTAGCTGACTTGTCGTGTGGAGTTCATCTTATCTCAAAAAATACAAATTTGCAGGACACTGCAAAGCAGAAAACATTTCTACTCCCTGATGCAAGTTACATGAGGTGAATTCAGGGAAATGTTCTTTGTGTCTTTGCTCCAAACCATGTCCACCATAAACTATAAACAGCAATACTGGGGGAAAGAGGCCAAGAAGTGATGATGTCACTGTGTCCTGGCTGTCCCTGGGCTCTTTGCTTCCTTTGGCTAACACCTTTGATTATTTCTGGGCAGGCAGATAGGTCAGCACTGACACACCAGTGCTGCTCTGCTACCAAGTATTGACAGAGCAAACAGCCCTCGTCCTAATATTAGTTCCTAAGAGAATTACCATCACTAAGTTGCTTAGAGCAGAGCTTGTCCTCTTTGTGATATCCAATTTGCAGTGAGTCTGACAGGCACTGAGGTATGCCACGGGTGACACAGGTGCCCTCTGACTTTCAGGGAACAGAAGGTTATCTCTAGCATGGCAATTATTTCCTTTTATGTATGTGTTTATGGAACTTTGAAGTTCTAAGGAAATTTGAGGGGTTTTTTTCCCCTGAAAGGTTTATGGTAAGACTCCCCAGACTTGTTCAGGAAGGTCAAGTCCTGTAACAGCATTTTAAGTACAGCAAATATTTCTGCAAAAAGCAACTTTTATAATTGTGAATTCTGAGTATTCAACCATTAGCTGCAAAGTTCTTCTATTTTTCTCATTTATGTTGAATTAATGCAAGCTGTAATCTTTTAGAAGTAGCTTTCTGATAAAATGCCACAATTTCCTTCTGTGGAGTCATTTTCCCAGCTGGCACAGAATAACATCCATTACAGAGTACACATTTAATTTGCACAGTGTGTGCAGACACCCACACATTCAGACATTTCCTCAAGTCTTTGTTTCAACTCACCTATTTACAATTTTATGAACTTCAGTCTTCCCATCATTTTTTGGATGTTCTGGACTGACAGGTGGAGAAGCACTGAGCCACTCCTGAGCTGACAATGTGTTATCTGGAGACAGATCAGTAAATAATGGATCTTCCTCCAGATCTCTGTGAAATTACATCAGAGAAAAACATAATCATCCACAGAATGTTATGGAAGGCAGCAAAATCTCTGGGTCACAAGGCAGGCGGTTTTTCCTCTCCAAACAATGAGGATGTTTTCCAGAACATAACAATATCCACAATGTATTACATAATTAATATGCAGAAATACCAACCTTTGCAAATACCCAACAATGTGAACAACAGATGAGACATTTTTGACTTGGACAAAATTACTGCATCAAGTCACTTAAAACTTCTTAGCCACATTCTTCACATTAGAGAGTTCTATTCCAGGACATATTTAAATTATTCTAGATGACTAAAATGGTTTGTGTGGCCAGTCCTTACTGCTCATTCACTAAAACACTGAGTTATAAGAGTTACCCAGCAAATACATTTTATGTAGTAACTCAGTATTGTATTTATTTATTTTATGTAGTGCCTCAGAAATGTTCTTCCATCAAAAATTACTAGGAACATAAATGTAAGCAAAACACTGAAGTTATTGACTGCAAGAACATTCTCACTGATTGCAATAAAATATGCATAGATTTAAACTTGGTAGATGCATAAATAAATTGAGACACGAAGACCTCTGAGTGTCTATTGTTCTGTAAAGAGGCTTGTGGTAATTTTAGATTTTCTGTTCCTGTTCTAAGAGTTTCCATAAGTTGCTGATGTAGGAATTTCTGCATCACTTTATGGATATGGATTAATACATAGAGCACTCAAGTGCTCTCCAGGCTCACTTTTCTTTCAATTACTGGAAAAAAACAAGTTTTGTTCTAAAAATAAGGATCCAAGTTACTTGTTGTGAAAACTTCTCTTAAAAATGAAACTTACACTGCTCCAGCAATTTGTCCATTCTCTACCACATCTTTATCTTCTTGACAGGGAGGCTTGTATTCCATGTAGTTTCTTTCTTCCAAATTTCTCAGAACCAAATTATAAAGAATGTGCTCATTGGGTTTTTGCAAAAGGTGCTCAAACATTCGTAAAGTCATTATGCTGATCTGCAACAGAAAGAGTAAAAACTCAATAAACTGATGCACTGCTGCCCTGTGCTTTTTGCCTTTTATCTGCTTTGTCCATCCTAGAAAACTGCAATCACTTATTGACATTATGGAAGGAAAAAAATTATGGAAATTATGATGCTACATATGGTATAAACATGGATGAAGAGTACACATACATTTGAAAATCACTATGGGAATGCTTTTTTTTTTTTTCCTGTAAAATAACCTGTTCTGAAATCTGTCAGAATAACAATGCAAAGAACATGCAGAGAACTCAGAATTTAGCTTTCTGTTCTACAGTTAGATCCATGCTGGAAGATGATTATCATTGTGCAAATGAGACTCACAACAGGACCTAAAGTTAGTAATAAATACCCAGAAAAAAAGAAAGTAATACTGGGATATTGTGACAAGATCTATAGGCTAAGAATTTTACATGGAGATATTATGTAGGCTTTTAAAGGAACATGAACTTTAAGCAATACAAAGACAATTTTTCAAGACTGCTTGAGAGTGCTTAGCTTTGCAAACATAGCTGATTTACAGAGATAATTCATTCTGACAGGGTAAGAAGGTAGGCATACTGAAAAACTGGGTATGAGAAAGCACAGATTTGTATTTCAGGCAACCTTGTTTTTTTTTGAAAAAGTAGAGGGCTGAGGTTGTTTCATGGAAAAAATGAAGCAAGCAGCTTCTGAGGAGGGATTTTACTGAAGTAAATTGTTTTAATGATGCTTAGTGTATGCAAAGAGCTTAAAGTTATCACATCATCTTTTAACTGGCATTGCATATATCTTCCAACCACACTTAGTTCATATAAACTCCAAGTTTTTATCTATATCTCATATGATAATAAGACAGAATTGACACAACATGGAAAATAACAGCAACAAATTAAAATGCAATTACAAAAACTCGGTTCACTTTATCTTCCAGACAAGCAAGTCTAACTGGATATGCATAGTGGGCACACAAATTCACCAAAAAATCTAGCAAAAAAAAAAAAAAAAAAAAAAAAAAAGGAAATATCCCTAGGTGGAGAAAACAGCTTGACTTCATTTTCTAAAGGGAATTTGTAGGGCCAGGACCCAGAATTCCCTTTCTTGGAAAAAAATGTTACTGGACACAAACAAGAGAACTCCTTACAACAGTGTGTTTACAGCCTCTCCACACTCCAGAACTGGCCAGCAGACATCCTGTGTCAGACCAGCCCTCACCTCATCAGAAATGTGATCACAGTGCTCGATCAGCCTGTGCCGCAATGGATGCCTGTTGATGTCTGTCAGGGTTTCTGGCTCCCTGTGCTCTCCAAGGATAAAATACACCAGCTCCTGCAGCAGGACATCCGAAGTCACCTGACGAACAATGCGGTGCAGCAGTGCTGTTGATGTGAGGATTCCAATCTCTGAACTGAATGAAACATTTTCATATCAGATAGGGAGAGGATTTCCACTCCCCAAAAATCAGCTTGATTCAGATTCTGTTCTGCTGTGTCTTGTAGGATGCTACTCACGTTTGCATCAGCTGAGGTTCCATAACATCAATGAAGAATCGTTCCCGCACAGCTTTTGCCATAGCAACAGCAGTCGTCTGAAACAAAAGTACAAAATGGTGTGTCTCAAACTCAGAAGCTTGGAAACAACTGGAACTACTTATTTCCTAAATATATTTGTATCATCAGAACACATTTCAAACCTTTTGTGCTTCTTTGATGAGTTGATCACAGTAGTCAAACCAAGAAAGAAATGAAATCAATGCTCTTTTCCCTGGAAAAGCAGATGCATCTTCTTTGTGGCTGTAGGAATCCAAACTAGAGCGCACAGAGAAAAGAAATTTATTTAGTCTACAAGTAGTTGAAGAATCTTGGACTCCATTCTTATTGAACCTAACAGAATAATTAACAACCTACTTGTAATGAAAGGAACATTAAAAAAGCTTTTCTGCTGGACTCTATGGATGTGGCAGTGCCATCACAACACAGGTACTCAGTGCATGCTAAAGGAAACACAGAATGTGCAGCACAGGAATGCTGGTTAAGTGTTTCTGGAGTCAGAAGGGAAAACTGATCACCAAGTCTGCTCTCCCAGAATACACAGACTACAGAAAATGAATCAGTAACTCCTGCAGTCACAGAACCATAAAATGAAGGCAATTGGTCTCCTCTACTCTGTAAGTGACCTCAGGCAAGTCAACCGAAACCACAGTGTATACCTGAACTAGAGTGTATCTTTTGGAAAGAAACATCTATCTCAATTTAAGGGCTGTAAGGAATAACAAATGCACCACTTTCTCTGATAAAAAACTACACTGTTTATTTATCCCACCTTTTAAAGTTGTGGGTTTTCCCCCTCTAATTTCAAACTCCAACCACCAAGAAATTTTGTTAGGCATTTTGCAAATACCTGCTTTTGTCTCAGTACTAACAGATCAGGAGTAATTCATAATAATGAAGGCAGAGTGGGGAAGATTTATGTTTTAAGAATCTAAATTACAGTTAGGATAACAGGCATGTATCTTTTGCTTCATGCTGATGACTTATGCAGCAACTCTTTCCTTCTTCTTTTTTCTGCAAAAATTTTGCAACAACAGTCTGTTAACAAATAGACCCTTCCTGCCCCTCACAGCAGCTTACAATGCCCACTGTGTACAGTGAGAAGTTTATGCTTCCTAAATCCTTAATATCTGCATGAGAATATTAATCCACACCTGATACTACAGTGACATCACTAGAAACTGCTGATGTAACCCGGTATAATTCCTCAGGCCCCCCCTGAGGAATGTATGCCAGGGCAGACCTGGCCCCATGTCAGAAACCTCAGGTACTCTGGACACCTAAAGTGCACCACTGTGCTACAGCTCTGCCTCAGCTCTGCCCTTGAGGCTTCAGCCTGTGTGTGGAAGAATACTTTATACACATTATCCACCTATCAAATTAGTTTTAGGGAAAGGTGAAAAGTCACTTTGAGTATTAAATACAAAAATAAAATTCTTACCCCCAGTTAATTGCCTCCACTGTTTCAATGTCTAAGGGATCCAGTGACTGAGGCAAGGCTTTGTAGAGGGTGGCCAGCCTGTCTGTCAACAATTCACATAAACAAGTGCTTTGAGTCAGGCACTTGGCAGCTGCTGGTTCTGGCAAACTCACCAAAAGCATCAGACCTTCACAGGCCTTCACTGCTATCCGGCCGTCCTGGCAGAAGAGCATGGAAGAATTAATCAGAGGGTGAATGAAGGCCACTGGAAATCAAGAAGCAAACACCTTCCACATAAAACCTCTCCATTCCCCACAGCGACTGAATACATTTATTTTTGTTGCATTCTCAGTCATTATCTCCAGTGAATTTGGATGCTACAAAATAAAGATTCTCACCTGATTTTGTGTAAAATTCAAGAATGCCAGCTGCAACCTTCCAGCTGACAGAGCTAGAGCTGTAGGTCAGCTTGAGACCAAGATACACAATTCTGTAAACTACTAATGTAACAATAATGAGGTACTGTGGTAGACTTGGTTCTCTGCTCTCAGCACTGCTGCAGCAATTACAGGCTTACCCAAACCTCTTCTAAATTTTCTGAAAGAATCTAAGTATGAATTTGAGGACTGAGCTGGGTAAAACATAAAACAGGCTTTTTTAAAAGAAAACACACTCCTAGAGATAGCTCAGTGGCATTACAAAGAGAGTAGGTTTGGTTAAGTCAGAACAATTCAAAGTAGTTTTAAAAACACTCTCTTGTGATATATTAACCTTCTGATTATCCTGTGTAGTTTTTCTGTGAAACATACAGCATCCTATATAAGTTTCTTAAAAAACTCACTTATATTAACATCAGCAAGCTTAGTATTAATTTTCTAAAACAGTATTTTCACTTTAATATGATTTACAAAGAAAATTACCAATTTACACAAAGTGCCTGCAAAACCTATCACTTTTAATAGCTAAAATACAGCGTGTTTATTCACTCCCTCTGCCCACTTCACACAGCATCCAACTATTTCATCTTATCACACAGAGTGGAAAAAACCCCAAAAACCAAATAAAAAAAAACAACTCACAGGACTTTTAGTGAGGTTTAGTAGAGAATTCACTAAATTATAGTCTTGATTTGGACAAGCAGTGGAGGACTCAGGTGATGATGTGACATTGAGTTCATCCAGACTGAAAGAGAGCTCCTCTGCCTGCTGTGGGAGCTCATCCTCCTTCTCCATGTGCTCGGCTCCGGCAGCACCGGGCGTCTCCTCAGGCTGGCCAGGCTGCCCCGTGTCTGCTGCCACGGACTCTTGGTCTTTTATCATGTCTTCTGTGATTACACTTGCTGATCCTTGGAGAGCCATTGCTTTTAACTTACTCTGCAAAGCATTTTTTTGGAATTATACAGCTGAAATTACTGTTCATCCTGAAGCAGAAGTTTACTAAAAGCAATTTTTTTAACATCAACATTTGAAGTAGTCAAGGCTGGATACAGTAACCATGTAAAATGTACAGGGCTGTGGGAGCGTGGGTGTTTTATAAACCTAGGACACTTTTAAATCTGCTTAAATTTCTCTTAAGCCCTACACATTTTGCTTCAAGGCTGAATATGCCATTTACAAAAGGATGGCAGCTTTTTCTTTCACTACCTAAGGCACATATTCACTTGCACACAATTTGATAGAGGTTTTTAATTTATCTTATGTGTGGCACCTTTAGCACTTAGCACTTTTTATAGAACATTCCTTTCTGTGTCAAGGCCTCACATTCATCTAATGTCTGAAACACTATTTCCAGCTGGAATCACCCAAGTAAAATAATTCCAATTTTTTTGAGATTTTACCTCCAACAGTAAAGGGAAAGAAACACCTTTTCTGACAGCAGAGTACTCTCAAATTGTGTTTCTCAAGAAGAAAAAATTGAGTAGATTGAATGGACAAAGGTATGAGAAGTTAGCACTGGGCACTGGATACTCTAAAAGGTCACAGAGAGCCTTCCTGGAAGCTCCAAACCATCTCTGCTTTGCCTGACAAAAGGCAACCCATCTGTCTTCCTATAAATCTGTCTCCAGCACATAAAAAGACATTTAAATTTGTGCTGTGTGATACCAGGAAGAAACTCACAGAAAGGCAAGAATTCAGTGTTCTTCTGGCATAAGTGCAGGTGAGGAATACTTTATTGGAATCATAAATTAGAATGCAGCAAAAGACATTTCTTTCAAGTGAGAACTGCAGTGAGATTATAAATCCAAACGGTTCCCTTCTCTATGATAACACCAAAATTATTACCAATATATCTCAAGCATTAATAATTTAAAAGACTAACCATTTGGGGTTAATGGATTTTAGTACAGACAAACCAGCAGGGACTGAGGACATGACAGTGAGGCAGCAAACTGCAGAGCTGCTGTGAACACTTGCTCAAGGGCTGTGCATTCGGTGTGGGGAATTTGCACTGGGCATTGTGATGCACTCACAGAACCAATTCCCTGGAGAAGCAAACCAGTGGTAAAAGCAGCAGACTGCATGCTATAAAATAAGGATGATCTTTGAATGCAGTAGAAAAATTACTGCTTCAATATGCTTTGGGTTTCTTGTCAGTGTGAAAAGTGCAAGGTTGGCAAAGCAACAAAAAGGTGTCTGTCTGAACCAAGTCTGCCCATCATAAGACCTTCTGCAGTCCTTCAGTATCAATATCCTCAATATCCTCATCAATACACAGAAATATCTGAATCACAACAGTGACCCTTCATATAAAGGTTGGAACAGCATTTCAATCCTGGACTCAACACTGTTTCTGGCACCACTCAAGCAGCAGGCAGAGTTGTTAAAGGGAAAAGCTTTTTTTTTTTTTTTCCCAAAAACTGGGAAATATTCTGTAAAATACTTATTTCATCTTTCAGTGGCTTATTACTTCATGTCTGGATTCTTCTGCCATTTGAAAGGCCATTGTTTATTTAGCTAAAGCAGTGATGAGAGAACTAACATATATAAATGTATGAATGCCCCTAGAAATGTGTCCACAGTTCATGATTCTTACACTGGCAGGTGACACAAAGCAGTTTGTACATTGAATAACACACAGGCAGAATCTTTGTGTGTATTTAAGCTTCCTATTGTTTAATCATGCAACTCTGCAGCTCAGCTGCTCACCTGCCTCCTGCAAAGGTGCAAAACAGGATCCTGAATGACCTAATAGAAAAGGTTACATAAAACACATATTCAATGCTTTCTAAACAAAGTACTCATGAATTCAGCATTAACAAAGAGCAGATAATATAAAACCACCCTTTTGTATTTTTGTGATCTGTAAACATCAGTTTTAAAATCTGTGGTGGATGATGCCATGTCTAAATTCTGATAGATTTAAAAAGAGTTCTATGAAAACATCAAGTGATATCACAGCTGATGTGAATATCTACTTAATTTGTGGTGAGAAATATAAAGATGATAATTCATAGTACTGAAAGTAGAAGTGAACAGTAAAACTATTGTTCATTTTATAAAATGAAGGTAAACAACTATTTAGATGCTATATTAGAACTTTTTCAAGGTTTTAGGAACAGAAATGAAGCAGAGAGAGTTAAGTGTCCCTTTGCCAGAAACAATCAGTTGCAAGGAGTATCTCACCTAAATGGGATAAGATGAGATGAGGCAAGTTTACCCTAAAATATAACTGAGGCAGAGGTGATAAATAAACATTACAATGTATATTCTTTCTCTCTGCATGAGAACTAGGAAAACTCAGTTAAAAAAAAAAGGAATACATTAATATCAAAATAAAATTAGTATAGGGATCCTAAAGTTTTAAAAAAGTAGAATGAAGTTCTTCAAGTTCTTATTTCCACAACAGGCATAACTTGTCCAAGTGATACAGTTATGCCATGTAGGCTTATTGATTAAGCAATATAGGTGAAAGATTTCACCTATACTAATTAACCAATAGTATATATATTTATGTAAATTTAAAATATAAACCAGCTTTCTATCAACAAACTATTTGGCAGAGAATCATACAAAGGAAGTGAGTTTGAACACAGTCAGTTTTTATGTTCATAAAATCCTGTATAAACTGATTGGAAACAGTCAAAGAAGGAAGCAAAACTAACAGATACAAACACTCTCTGGAGAGATCCATCTGCATTTCATCTTATAAGTGCTGGAGATTGGAGGTAGAAATGCCACACAGAATTCTGTAAATTTACCCTTTCATGCCTTTGAAAGTGATCAAGTCACAACAGCACCTCTAAGAGGCCAAATGTGAATAACCAGAATATCCTATTCTAACGAAGCACAATTCTGCACTCTACATAAATGCTCTGGAAACAACCATCACAAGTAGTGAAGACAAATGCTTTAGGCTGCAACACCTAGAATAATACTGTGAACAAGAGCTACAAGAAATGTTTGCCAGCTTGCCTGAACTCCACAGCCAGCATTTTGTGAAACTAGAGACCCCTTTGAAACTTGGAAACATCTGTTTCTCCATGTCTGTTTTGTAATATTGGAATCTTGCTATTTAGGGGAGGAACACTAATATAAAGTGGGACAAAACACTTGTGGTTCCAGAACACTAGGGTTCTCAGGTTTGATTGCAAGGGCAAGATTTAAGAAGCTTAAACCATACAACTTAGACAAATAATACTAAAAGTAATCCTGGTTTAGAATTCTACCATATTTTGCATGTAATATATGCAGTAGTTTAATTCTGAGTGCTTCTGATGTTTAATCATTAACTTCTCAATCCTTATACAATTTCTGCTGCTTGTACAACTACAGTGGATACAATGGCAATCAGGATAATACTTAACTGAGGTAAAAATAAACTCAAGATTGATTCTTTACTACTGACATGCAAATGATAATCACATACTTAATAGAAAAAAACATCTTTTTGCAGTTTAGCAGTCTCTGCTGTCACAGATCTTGTTTGTGGAAAGCTTGTAAAATAGTCCTGAAGGAATATTTTTCAGCTAAGTATCCTGTACTTAATAGAGACTGTGTCCATAGGAAGCAGCAAAGTGGGAGCAAAAGGCATTTCTAAATGGACTTTTATAAACCATTTTTTAATGCTTCTTCTAAATAGGAACTGAAAGTCAGTCTAGAAACTGTTTATCCTCCCACTCTGATTTCATAATGCCACATGTTAAAGGAGGCAGAAAAGACACAGGCTGTCTTGCAGACAGAAGATGTGTTGTGTTGTAGGTTGTGAGCTGGCACTGCAGCTCCAACATATGTGCCCCTACCAAGTAAGGGCCCAATCCTGCAGAACACTCAGCGACTTGCAAGGTTTCAGTGCCCCCTGCAATCTGTCCCTTTGTCTTCATTGGGATGACAAAAACAACATGAGAAGGCCAAGGTCTTCCTCACACAGTGTTTTACACTGCAACTCATACCCCTACTCTAAAGGCCCTTTCATTGCAAAGGAAAAGGACCTTGGGCAGGGGTATTAGTGAGCTCTGAATGAAATTCTCACGAAAATCAGAATTATAAAGTCTCTGGGAGCAAAAAAAAAATCCAAACAAGACTTCTAATATCACAGGATAAAAAGTAACAGATGGAATGAAAACTAAGCTGGTGAACAATGAAGCACATTGTGATACCACCAGTTCTCCACTAGATTTTGTATATGACACAGTGAATACACCTGTAAAATTTTGAACTTATTTACTCACCTCAAGGAAAAAGTTGACCAGGTATGGATCCTGCTTCAGCTTTGCACATACTATACAGAGAAACTGAATTTCTTCATTTTCTGTTGGTGTTGCCAGAACCTCACCACAGAGCCTGATTAATTTCTGTCACATAAAGTGAACAATTATGACACAAAGTTATTGCTTTTTCTAGGAATAACAGACTGAATTATTTTTCTATATACACACAGCAATTACGTATGAGTATTGACTGGAACATGAGCTCTGGATTTAGACTGCAATGAACAAGTTTTCATTATTATCTATGACTTGCATTGCAGTGGCAGTCCAAGACTCCAAACATCAGCACATTAAAAAAATCCAAACTGATCTGGCACCCAAGCAATTTCCTTAATTCACCTGACAATGGAAAAATTAAAGATAATATTAGCTACAGCAGAATAAAGGAAACTTATGCAAAAATACAGTTTACTCAGAAAGTACCTGCACTGGCCTATGCACATTTATGTGGGGAAGAAGAGGTTGCCGTATTCTTCCAAGAAGTTTTGTATAAAAAGCCAGAACTTGCTGTTTCATTCCTGGAGGACACTGAAAAAAACCAGATGAACAACAACAAAAATAGAATAAATGTGGAGAAAAATACAGATGTAAAGTTTTCACTCAGAATGGCTAATTAAACAGCAATAATTTAACTAAAAGTATTTTTACAGTCATCATCTGTTAACATATTACTTTTATCAATATTAACAAAGATCAATAAAAAATGTTGCATCTCATTACTGTTTTCTCTTTCAAATTATTCATACTTTCAGTTAATTGCTCTAGGGCAAACTTCTACCAATACTTCCAGAAAATATTCCGTATCATTATGGTGATAAGGGGAAATTAACTCGGAATTAATTTGCTACAGGTCAGATGTCTATTCAGTGAGTCAATACATACAAATACAGAATGATAAACTATAAAAATCTTAATACCTACAGAAGGTTTCTTAAAGTCATGAGCAATTAACCTTAGCCAGCTAAAGTGTTTATAAATGCACAGACAGTCCAGGACAAGAGAAAGCTGCTGCTTTCCCTGAGCAGAATATAAATCACAAGTATCTGTGGAACATGCAGACCCTTGTTCTACTGTCTCTAATGCACCACACCACAAGAAAGGGCTTCCCTATCCCCAGGAGATCTGATGGCTTGTGGGCCTTTATGTACCTTTGTTCCTAGCTAAATTCCCCCAAACTAATTAGTTAATAACTAATTTACCAACCACGTTAATAAATGCTGTTAATTTTAACCCACATAATTTCCCTCATTTGCATGTCCAAATGCAGCTGAGGTGGCAACCTGCAGCCTAACCTGGCTCTCCTTTCTAAGTAACTATCTCTAGATTTTCAATCCCTAATCACTGCAAATTGTCAAGCAACTCTTTGAACAAAATGGCAAGATATGTACCATCAGGGCACATCCACAGTAATGCAGTAAGTCTAACTGACTGCTGTGAAAGGGAACTATTCATTTTGCGCCAGATCTTTGCAACATCTTGCAAGCACTGAACTGTGTGTTTACTTCAGATATATCAACTCACAAGTGGCAAAGTGTAAAGACAGGCTGTACAAGAATTGCCTGTACAGACATATTTGTATGAGTACAGAATGACTTCTCTCAACTCTTAGAAACACACTACTAATTACCCGCTTCACATATGTCACCATTTCATCTTGTTTCTTGACAATATGTAGAGATTACTGAACGAGCTGTGTTTCTGAGCAAGTATCTTTCATACAGCATTTTTGAGGTTTTAGGCCCAGCTGGAGCAGGTATTTTAGTCTGACTGTAGGACAGCTGGTACAGTAGCAGATCTCTGGCTCTTCCAGAGCAAGGAACATCTCAGGCTCAGACAGCCACTGTCCTGTGTTACCCGTTCATGTAAAATCAGTTAAAAACTCATGACAATGAGACTGACTGAGAAGGAAACCCTGGAGAGATCCATTTATCCTTGGAAGATTAAAAACTCATAACAATGTGTAAAAGACTGACTGAGAAGGAAACCCTGGAGAGATCCATTTATCCTTGGAAGAGGATAAACCTCCCTAACTGCATCTGCACTGTGATACAAAATGTTCTACCCCCAGGGCTGCCAAGTCAATTCACCCCATGATCCACCCAGCCCCACACATTTCAGCTCAGAAGTTCTGCCAAGCAACAAGGATGGACCAAGACCATGAAGGAAACTTCATGTGTGCCACAAAGCAGACATGTAGAATTGGACAATACTGCCAAGGTATGAAAGCTGGCTGGGGATCAACTCAAATTAATGCCTTCTGATATCAAAGTCTTTCTGAGCAATAGCTCAACACATTCAGAAAAGTTAATCAAAAATCTGTATTTAACACAGCACTTTTCACCCAAGAATCCCCCAACATTTAACAAAGGACAGAGAGGGATAATACTGCCTTGTAGTAGCCAGAAAAACTCTAGACTGAAGAAAAATGTTTCTCCTACTTTTAGCTTCACCATCAGCATTATCAGAGTGGTGAGTCCCACCACTGCCAGCACCTCAGAGGTTGTCTCACCCTGATCACACCTGTAAAAGGCTGTTATTTGTAATATGCTGGTAATATGGTAATATATATTGGTATATTTGTAATATAAGCAAGCAGCTCTTTGCTAGAGTTCAGTGTCCCACACTACCACCTACTGTAGAACTTCAGTTTCTATCACAACTAGGAGCTCACACAAGAGATAATCTGTTCTGCTGACAGATACATACATCAGCTTTTCCTAGTGTGTAAAGTGTCTCCAAAATCTTGTGATGTAGCAAATATTCCATGCATGGTCCTGTTTCACCTGATTCCCTCTCATTTTCTTCTTGAACTAGAATATCCAACATCTGTTCCAGGTGAGAGGGAATGTTCGTATCAGTCACAGGAGCTTTGTCATCTAAATAAAAGAAATAGGAAATTAAGAATGATTTTAAAATTGCCCTCATATTTTGGCTCAGTTCCAAATGTAAGACTTATAAACATGATATACACTTAAAGAATCTTATATAGAGATCAGGTTTTTAACATGTCTTAAAGAAAACTTTCAGAACTGTATCTGAACATGTACACTGGAATATGCATTGGGCAGATATCTGACCTTGTAATGGGGAAAAGGTGAAGTGCCAAAATTCAAAATATGCCGTAATTACACGGTCAAAAAAGGAAAATTTCTACTCCCAGACAGCAAGCCAAGGGAGAGAAAGCTACAACTCTCAATCTTCTGTTTAGTATGCACTAGGTCTTGATAACTTCCTCTTTAACCCTTGATACATTATTCTCAAATCTGGCCTCTAACATCAGCTTAATTTGCAGCTGATCAGTTCCTTTAAACTAGATAACTAAATAAATGGCTTTTCTGCTGATAACAACAAAGAAAATTCAACTCTATGCTGTTTATTCTCCAAAAGCTTTTAAATTTCTTTTTTGTAGTTTCTGCATTAAAATAGTATTCACTCAAACTTTATGAAGGAAAGGGTAAGATATTGATTTTATTATATTAAAGTCATGAAGCTGCAATGGATTTATGCCACTGGAAGTAGGAGCTAACATTCACATACTGTAGAACATATCCACATATGAAGATTTTCCTCTCTTATTTTTTTCAGCAGAATTCTACATGAACAGCTATCCTAGGGAAATGGTTACTACTGTTTACGCAACAATCTAAAAATAACTTGTCATTTGCTTGCAATTGGCAACAAGATCACGCAGGGAAACTGCCATGTCAGAGTGATTTTGGTCTCTGCCACAAGCTCCAGTTAGCCTGGAGTGTTTTGCTTGAATTTCCTACACATAAATCTGCTCCTACTGCAGAGGACAGAAATATATCCACTGAGTGGAAACTTCTTTTTCAAAACACTTCTGAAACTCTGGGAGAGAGGTCAGCTTTTATTCTGCACCACGTCACTGCAGGTGTCAGTTTTCCCTGCCACCCTGTCATTTCCACCTTTGGAAACATCACATAGTGTTCCAAAAGATGGGTATTTGGAACCAAGGGTCACGCTGAAGTTTTACAAGTAAATATTGATATAAACAAGATCATCAGACACAAACACAGACTCAACAGCTCTTCCAGCAGAAGGTCAGAACTAATAGGCTAGAGGAAAGCACGGCAACATTCATTTTTAAAATATAACTGTTTCATAACTAGGTCCAAAATTAAAAATTTACATGCTGCATAATTGTTGGGGGAAAAAAAAAAAACCAAACTCAGAAAGAGTTTTAAAAAAAGCAACTACAGCCATATTTCATCATAATATCTATTTTTAAGAACAGCAGTGTAACATCTGAGTAAGATTTAATAAAACTTGTTGTCTGTGCTATCAAAATACACTGAGACAAGACATTATAGCAAAAATAACTAATACTGAGCACATGGAATCCATCTCTGTCTGGTAAAATCTATGACCACAAAATTACTTTTGTTTAAATCTTGCAAAGAAAAAGAAAATCCCTGATGCAAAGCAATAAAAATGTTAACAGCAGGGACTGCATTTCTGCAGCTGTCTGTTTAGATTAAATAGAGTATGTGAAGGCAGAAACTGGGTCAGATGTAAAAAGGTGCAGTTCTTTACATGGTATTCAGGAAACAAGACTTCAACCATTTTTCATGCCTACTTTTACACATGGAAGTACATGATATTTTTAATTACTGGTTATTGTTGGTATTTTGATTAAAGACATGATTCATTTAGTATTTCTTAATCTTTACTTTTTAAAAACACTAAAATTGTGAATTCTAGTTTCCACAAAATATAAACCCAGAGTGCTTTTTTCTTTTACCTGAGGTCTCTATGTAGTAATGGGTGATTGCTTTCCAGTGGTAAACAAAATCTTCTTGTAATGGAAGGGAAGGTGCAAGCTATGGGGAAAATAAACACAAAAAAACCAGTTAGAAATGGAATGAACATACTTGCTCAGAGATTAAATTCAATTTTATCTTATACTTGGAAGTAAAGTGCTGCAGATAGTGCTACAACTGTTACTCTCTGCTCTTTTACCTTTAACAAGGACTACATTCATTATTCATGGCTGAGCCTCATGCCACACTGCCTGCTTGTAAACATCAGTAATAATCTCTGTGATGTCTCTATCACCAGACAATCTATTCGAAGCAACAAAAGCAATTGCTCCTGCTGCAAAGCAACACTAGAAATGTATGCTTGTATTTTTGAGACCACAATTTTGTCCCATAGGAAAAAATCATGTTCTTTTGCATCTGCTCTTGATGCCTTCTTGCTTTTCTGTACACTCTGTTCTCTGCTCTCCCTCTGCTCCCTTAAAAATACCAATTAGTTGCTTCATCCAGTTTTTACCATGCCTTTTTTTCCCGTTATCCACAACTTCTTTTAAAAAATCTTTGTTCAGTTTTTAGGTCGGGTTTTGTTTTTTTGCAAATTTTTGGTTTGTTTTTTTAGGCCCATACGCAGAGCCTGACGGGTTGCTCCTTTTTTAAAAACAAATACATTTCTTATTTCATTTCTGCAAGAAAATAAAGTTTCTTCTTTCCTGGAGGAGTTTGGGATGGCTGGCTGGGCGTGAGCAGCATCCAGGAATAACACCATGCAAGAAGGAAACGCAGCCCCCCAGGCAGTCACCATCAGCACTGCTCCTTCCCCACTGAGACACAGGTGGCCTGTGGCCCATCACACCACAGGCAGCCTGTGAAAAAAGGACCACAATCATTTCACCACTCTGCTCGCCAAAGTGAGAGCTGACACAAGCACTGAATTTGTGCCCCTGAATGTTCTGAGCTGGTTAAAATCAGGAATCCTATAGGGAAAACCCCAACCACTTAATAGGTCACATGAGGATCTGTTGTTATTGAGGCCTAATCCCACTTGCTTGAGGCTTTTTTTTTGGACCATCAAGCCCTCAAGTCATTCTTTCACAGGCCATCCTGAAATAGGGGATTGTTACCTGACAGGATGGCAGCGATGAGCCCTGTGGGCAAACAGAAAGAATCCCAAGTATAAACTGGTGTGTCTGTTTTGGAAGGGTAAGGAGCTGAACCATCTTGACAGGATATGGAGTCCAGTCCTTCACAGAATCTCAGAGGGGCTGAAGCTGGAAGGGGAGTGGAAACCATCCAGTTTAGCCCCCCTGCTACAGCACAGTCACACAGAGCTGGCTGCTCAGGATCATGTCCAGATGGCTTTTGAATATATCAGAGGATGGCGACTCCACAGCCTATCCAAAAACCTGTGCCAGGGGTCAGTTAACCTCACAGAGAAAGGTTAACTGAAGGAAGTTTTCTCCCCAGGAGCTGTAGATACCACATTTGAGACTAATAACTCTGAACTTCTCTAGTGTCTCCCCACAGGGTCTAAAATGTGCTGTGCTGTCTCAGTTCTTGGGCAAACAAGGGCTCAGGAGCACAGGGTTCATATACAGTCTAGTACAGTATAGGCTCATATGGTCTTTACTGGCTGTTGTGGGTTTGTTTGAAAAAGCCGTGGATGTTTTCCACATCAGTCTTTTCTTTGCCTTTAATTTAATGACACTTAAATTTATCTTGGTAAAGTTGTAAAGCCCAGTAAATGGCAAATATGCCATGCCAAGATAAGTGCAATGCTAATTCCTAATGGCCCTTTGCACACAGGACTTTGGAAGGCAAGACTCTGCAAAAAGAGTGGTGCTTGGCAACTATCTCTGCCTCCATCCCCGGTGGAAATGTGCCCTTGGAAATGGCAACCAGAAATCAAACTGACAGTGCTTACCCTCTCCCTGACAGGCTGTGCACTCACTGGGTTCCACGGCTGGGCACTCAGAGCAGCACATTAGCACAGCAGCTACCGCCGAGTATCTGAACACTCCACACTGCACAAAACCAGTTTATTTGACTGTGACATTTACTAGGTTATTGACATTCAGAAGAATAACCAAACAAACTGAAGACTGAGCATATGATATTGTGTATCATGCTCTGTATGTCACACTAGCTGCACTAGATGTGTATTTCACGCAACGTAATGATCATTTCTGCAAAAAAAAAGCTGTATCAAAACCTCAATGCCAGCTGATGAATAACCCAGGGACAACTTTTGAGGAATACAGGCCTCCCAGACCACTCTATTTCCAACGTAACACATGATGGATAACATTAAAGATTTATCCTTGGCTGATGTGATTTTCCTCTCCACTTCTTCTCGTCTCATCTGCCTCAAGATGAATTTAGTGCCTCTGAGCAGTGCCAGGAAAAGGATTTCACTTCTCAGCACTGTCAATAATTTATCCACCATGGGAGAGAACTGTGGATATAGACATTCTCCCTCCCAACAACTGCCTCTAGGGACTCTTCTCAGAGGTGAAAAAATAATTCAGGGACAGGTCCTGCCCTTTCAAATTAAAATACCCAGTGATTTCAGAGTCTTCCCTGACCAGGATTGCAAGACATAACAGAGATAACATTAGCATGTGTGTGCACCTGGGCAGGGCAGAGGGCAGCCTACTGGGCATCAGCATTGCCACCAAATGGAGATGTAACCCCAACAAAATTATTTTGAGGTAGGTGTTTACTAACCAAAAAACCCAACAAAAACCCACAAGAAAATAAGCAAACAAACAAAAATAAAGCAAAAATACCCCAAACCTCCAAGCAATCTTATTAACTTAGTTATTCAGACAAAAAAGCAAGGTAAAGACCAAGATACCAGCTCATATGTATATACAGCCAAGCACTGGAAAGAATTAGGAATCTGTAGCACTTGGCTGACATCCTTTAACCCTAGTAAGACAGGTAGTACTAGTATGAGGTTATAGTTCCTATTTTAGGATGAATTATTAGCTATCAGCTGCGAGGGAATACATGTTACAGCTGCCACCCTGTATAACCACCCTATTGTGTAAGTACTTGTATGGAGATTCTGAAGCAAACCAGAATGCCTTGTGAAGGCCATTAATTCCTGATACTTTTCTAATTTGAAGGAGTTACCTTAAAAATGCAGGTATTTCTCCCCATTAAATCAGCTGGCTAGGGCATGGTGCTAATAACACCAAGACTGTAGGTTTGATCCCTGTATGTGCCATAAATTTAAGAACTGGACTTGATGGTCCCTGTAGGTCCCTTCCAACACAAAGTACTCTGTGACTCTGGAATTAATCCTGATGTAATTAAATATGTTCTTAGTGATTCCTAATGTCAAAGTGAAGCTCTCCTCCTCTGAAGAAAAAACCCCATGATCTTCAAGCCTGCAGTGTAGGTGTTGGTATATAAAATATATAAAATAGCTAAAATTCAGTGAAGGCCACTGAACTGCAGCCCACTGGAGCAGCCATTGATTAGCAAGGTCTTCCATCTGGCGCCCAGCTCCAGAAACTGGGCTTCCTGGGAGTGAGCTGAACTTAACACATGCTGCCTTACCCTTCTGGTGACAATATGTAACAAATAATCAAAGCCCACTCCCTTTCAGGAAAAGAGCTGTTCTCAGGAGAGCTACAGATCTTTGACCAGATGTACAGTCTGCTCGAGACAAAACCTGTCCAAAATACATTTCCGTGTTGTTTTCCAAAGCATACAGAATTCATGTTTAGGCAGGAAAAAAAATAACATAAAGAGTGATGAAACATATATATTGTAGTATTTAACAGCAAATATTTTGTGCATGTAAAAATCATTGTCATATTTTTCATGTATGCTTTTCAGAAGTGCAATTCAATACTGGAAAGGATGGAAACATCAGAAGCTGGTGATATGCCTCAATAACTTTAGGGCAAATTCACAAAGGAAAGAACATTGTATAAGAAAATAACAGGTACTGTCTGGTCAGATGCCAGAGTAAAAAAAAAGAGAGCAGAAAACTGGGTCAAAGAGAAAGGAAAGGGAAGTGCATGCACACTGCCCTGACTGACACAGTCACTTGATGTTTTTCTTCAGTCTTACTACTGTACCAGTGTGAATGATCTGAGAGAAGATGTGAAAAAGGAATAATGCTTGAAGGTTTACTTGATCTTCAGCTGATGAATGCACAGAGTTTATAATGGCCACTGCTCTCACAGATAAAATTAAGACTGCACATGCTTGCAAGTCATGAATTCAATTTTGTCATCTAATTTGTTAATACCACCACAACATTAAAACAACAAGTAATGTAAGGTCATTATATCAAATAAAGTGGGTACAAGAGGAATAAATTCTGTTCTAATCAGTTATGCAGGTCATGATTTTGGAACACTGCCTGTACCAAGTGACTCAGTTTCTTTCAAAGCTGAGTTTGCTTCAAAATAAAAACAGAAGCTACTTGAAAGTATGGTAATGGACCAGTGTCAGAGATACAGCGGAATAACATGCTGGTAGAGAGCAGGTCTCGAGAATCTGCAGCAGACACCAAAATCTTCATTCATTCCATTGCATGGTACAAATATTCCTGCTTGACAGCAAATTGCAAAATTCAAGCCAACCGAAATTGTATTTTTCATGCAAGGTACACAGCTCAAAAACATCCTTTTGAACTGACTTTTAAGGTGAAACATCCAAAAGCCCAAATCAAACACAAACGAAAGTCCTTTGAACACTGAGTGGCCACTTCACAGACAAGCTATTTTGTCTAGGGAAACATGAGTGAAAAGCACAAGATAAGAGCAAAGTAAGTCTAACTTGCTGCTTTGTTATTGTACACTACATTTTGTTGTTGCTGACAATGTAGTGCTCATGGATAGCCCTTTGGGATGAAAGGATATCAGAAATGCATAGCAAAGAGAAAACATCTTGAGGACAAACCATATATAAACTGTCACAGATTTAATAATATGAACCCCACGAAGCAACAGCATTTCTATTCTGCCCTGAAGTAACAGAACAAAGACAGCAGTCCTATCCACCATTCTCACTAACACATCTGGCTCAATTTAAGGATTCTCTGTTGGCAGGGTAACACAGTGGTGCTTGCTCATCTGAATGCTGCAGAGAAATCCAAAAAGCAAAAAGTATCTAAAATATTGGCAGGATTGACATTAAATAAGAGATGACAGAAAACCCCAGAATTCAATGGTAATGAAAATCAGGAATATAGTTTCAAACACTTGGGCAATTTAGTCACAAAAGACTGAAAGTTTTGAGTTATTCAAGGAGAATCACAGGATCATAGACAGGTTTGGGTTGGAAGAGATCTTAAAAGACCACCTAGCTCCAACCTCACTGCCATGGGCAGGACATTTGCTACTAGGCCATGTTGTTTTAAGCCCCATCCAGGCTAGTCCTGAACACCACCACAAACTCTGGGAAAAAACTTTGGTAAGAAAACACCTTAGTAGAAAGTAACTGATCCCTTATGCATGCCTCAAGCACAGTCCTGTCACAAGGGCAGTCAAGTCCAAGAGTGACACACTGACAACAAGTAAAAGGCAAATACTGCCATGTCTATCAGACTGTCAACCTTTGGAGCTCCTGTCAGAGTTCAGAGGTATGGCACATTGAGGGTAAGATAACAACGATTATCTAAGAGCATGGGAACCCTTACTGTTTAAATGCACTCTGGAGTCTGCAGGCCAGTGGGCCCTGAGGCAGGGCAGGAGCATTACAGAAGTGATGTGCAGGAGAAAGGACAGGGCAGAAGGGCTACCCAGACCTTTCTGGTTTAAGGAAGTCCCACGTGTGAAAGATAAACCCAGGCTCTTCAAGTGTATTTAAGTGTTCAGCTCAGCTGAAAACTGTACAGTTGCAACTCTACCTACTCTGGGGTAGGCACCCAAAACTTTTGAGAACTGATACCTTAATTACTAGTTCTGTTGCTGATATTCAGGGTTAAGAATCCAACTGAGGCTGCCCATGTTATACTTGCTCCCTAGCAAAAACAGCAAGCAAAAATGATGTTCCAAATTCTCTTGGCTCTGGAAACAGGTAGCATGAAAGTGGACTGAGCCAATACTTAGAATTTACAACACTTGTCACTTCCCCATAGCAAAGCTAAGCAGACATCTTATTACTACAGGGAGAATGAAACAGCTTAAAGCCACATACAGCCACCAAACTGGTTAAAAATTTATATTTCTCAGTTCTGTCTTTCAGTGGGTCAAACATAAAGAAACATTCTTAGTATCTTCCTGCTTTTGGAATTCCATGTTTCATTCCTAGTATTTGTCACAATCCTGTAAATGCAATAGTGCAGTATTTATCAGGAGATCCACCACGGTGGTAGTAGCAGGATGAGGCAATTCTAAAAGGGACACCAGAGTGGACACAGCACTCGAGGTACTCAGGACAATCACTTCCCTGGTCCTGCTGGCCACACTATTCCTGAGATAGGCCAGGAGGCTACCGGCCTTCTTGCCCACCTGGGCACACACTGGGGTGAGGGGAAGGGTGCCCACCTCCACAGTTCCTGTGCCCAAGGCTGCCATCAGACTTCCACCAAGGTTTTTGGGGTCCCTCATGCATGAGGGTGGGGAGATGGGCTGCCTCCACCCTCCTCCTGGCGCGGCATGGATACGGAACAACCCTGGCATGTATGGCAAAAGGCCCAGTTTGGTGTTTGCTGAGGCATTTTGGGTCTGCCATCATCCACAGGGATGGTGAAATCCTCGAGGAAATAACTGTTCATTCACAAAGCAGTGTAAAGGTGATGAGCTCAGAAAGTCAGTGACAAGTTGTGGCATCACCATCCCTCAAAGTGTGTAGAAAATGAGTGAACGTGGCATTTTGCAATATGGTTTAGTGGGAATGGTGGCATTAGGTCAAAGCATGGACTTGACAGTCTGGGAGGTCTTTTCCAAATGTAAATGGTCCTGTCTTGTTGCTGCTGAATGAGAAGCTGGTGATGTGGGTGGCATGGTCCTTGCAGGGTACCACAGATGAGAGGACTTGTGGCTATGTGCACATTGCTCATTTCATTGTTTGTTTGTTGGATTTTTTCCTACACAGAGAGAAGGAGACAAAGAGAGCTTTATTTCACCTCTGAATCAAATACTTCAGAGAAAAAGACCATCCCTCCCATTTTGCAGCACCACAGGAAAAGCAGAGGTAAAGTGGGGTGAGCAGAAGTTATAGATGTAGCTGACAAACAATATTATGTTTAGGGAAAATGTTTGGACACTGGGCAAATTGACATAGGAGAACAGGATTGTTTGGCACTGGGTAGCAGAGTGAAATGTTGGGTGGGAAGGTGATAAATCAGTATGGGAAAGGGAGGAGGCATAGGAGAACAGGATTGTTTGGCACTCACTGGGTAGCAGAGTGAAATGTTGGGAAGGTGATAAATCAGTATGGGAAAGGGAGGAGACCCTGTAGTACCAAATCAAGGAAAGCTTCCATATTAATTTTTGGAGAGGAATGAACACCAGCTTCTTCCTATGCTAGGAGCATGCAGAGAGAGATGAATCAAAAGATGGGACAAAACTACTATTTAACTGCTGTTCTTTAAATTGTGTCATCTGGGAAGTCTATAACAATGTTGTGATGATGTCTTACTAATGATTCTGCTGTACTGATTGGTATTACTACCCCTGTGCTTTGCAGGCATGGAGAGATACAGCCCAAATACTCCATGGAAGTAAATACTAGTTGTATGTGGACACCTTTATTGCAGTTGTTAAAGAGCAGAGCTATTTCCTTCTCAAAATCCAATATGTCAATATTAATTTAAAAGGTAATTATGTTGGGTTTTTAAATGCTTCTTTTTCTCTATTTGTCAACTTATATTCTATAGATGTTCACAGGAAAAGCAAATTTTCTATGTGGGTAGCCATATGATGAAACATCTCTGTGTTTAGGTGATTATTAACTGGACAGGTGCTGTATTTGGAAGGTGCCTGCATATCTGTGTCATTTAGAGAGACAGAGAATGTGGTCATTTAAGATGCTTTCGCAATCTGTTTTTCGTGCAAAAATGTCTTTTAAATGTGCTTGGGCTGTCTCATCTCCAAGCAGCAGAATGAATAAAGAAACAGTAAAATATCATAGATATAAAAGGAGACAGTTTTATCACTGTGAGAGTATTCCTAATTGTACTTAACAATTTATGAAATCATAAATCACAGAATCACAGATGGTGAGGTAAAACTTTGTAATGCTTGAGGGCCTCTTATTATTCTAAGAGTGACTAATGTATGTAAACGCATTATTATTTAAACAGAACAGTTCATTGCGGTTGAAATGAAGATTTTGGTTGTAAAAGTGACTTCTTATTAAGTCTTCTCAATGTGAAATGCCTTGCAGTAAAGGAAAAAAAATATTAAATGTAAATTACTTTTCCTAAGCCTATGAAACAAATTGAATCTCTGCATATAACCCTGCATTTACCAACCAATGGATTGGGTTTGAATTTGTAGCCATAATGCAGGATCCAGTTTTTGGTGCTTATATGTCTTGCAAATTGTAGATTTTGGGTTTTTTAAATGATCTTTTAAAGTAGTCTCTCATTTTCCAACCATATGTGTGTATTTCTCACTGCTGGGAATATTGGATAAATACTCGCAAACCAATAGTAATGAAATCACTGGAAACTAATGGAAGAATTATTTCACCAGTGTCAGTGCAGAAGAACTCAGCTGAGGTTACATTTTGTTTGGGTTCTTCTTGTTCTCATTTGGGATGATTCAATTGGAGATGCTGCAGTTATGGATGGGCTACCAATGTCATGTCATGTGCACAATACATCTTCACCTGCTCATGCTTGATGTTGTTTCCACTGAAATAAACACAAGTATTACTACCTTTTTCAGTACCCTTGAGAGCACAGTGCTGCTGGCTTGGGGTTGGGGTTTTTTTTGGCAAAGTAGTTCTTTTTTTGGAAAAGTACATGCAGTGAGTTAGTGTTTTGCTTGAATGTGAGAAGTGAAAGTGTGAAATGTTCTAATTGATAGAGCTTTTGGGAACTTTCTCCTTTCTTACAAATTAATGAAATTGTTTAGATTAAATCAATTTAGATGGTGTGTGACAGTGAGATAATGTGCTGGCCTTTTTATCTGAAAATCTCTCTGCTATTTGGATTGATGGCACCAGGCCAGTGTCTAATGGATGCATTTGTCTACATTACAGAAGAAGTTCCTGCAGTCTGGACTTTTGCTTCAGAGAGCCTGAAGATTTGGTGAGTTTTTTTACCCTAGATGAAAATTTTCCTGTTAGTGCTATGCCAAATACCTGTTGATATTCTATGCAGGATTTTAGTGTGTTTGTAATAATCAGATTGACATGTATGTTTTCAGTGACTACTTGGATGAAATAAAGAATGAAGTTTTAGTGATTCAGCATGGTCTCTGCTTTTGAGGAGGGCTAAGAAGATACTTAACATCATTTTCAGACCTTTCCAATGCTGGGCTTTACTACAGAAAGGATGCCGCACATACACTCTGAAGAGCATGCAGTGGAATTGAAGTAATTTTCTGTCATGAATTTTCTGGTTCTGTGCTCTCAGCTGTGTACATCACCTCCCTCCTTGCTGATTCGCTAGCAGCTCCATGTAATCAGCTCATGCAGTATTTCATAAATCCCATTTTCAGGCTTTTCCTGGCCTGTGCATTCTGTTCCATATCTGCACATCTGCTCTTTCTGTGGGGACATTAATTTGTCTTCTGCTGGGTTACAAACTTCCCAGTTGTTCATCTATTGTCTGAGTGCTTACCTGTCACATCTGCAAGAGTCTCCTGACACCAGAACTCATTGCTACCGTGGAGGACACAACACTGGGCAAATATTGCCTGCCCAGCAGCTATTCCTTGTTTGTGCTTCAGTTACACTCTCTTACCATCCTCCTCTACCTTATGTAATGCTTGTAAAGGAGACCACTAGGAGGTCAGAAGTACATGTTGTCAGTAAAATGAGACATTTCTTTTCAAATCACATCATGTTTTCCTCAAGTATTTCTGTTCCACTGGAAGCATTAAAAACCAGGCTTTCCTCTGTAAGTAAATATATGGATGTTTTACCATACAGTATCTGCGAGTGCTAGCATATCATAAATTATTGAAAGCAGATAAAATACACTCAGATGTGATCAGTTTAGCCAATTTCACTGCAGGCTGGCAGGAGCACAAGGATACTTTTCTTGTGGTAGTGGAAGCCAAATCAAGGAGATTAAAGATAAACTACTCGCTTTATGCTGTATTGCAACTGTAATGAATGCAAGGGTCTGAATGTGGTATAAATAAACATAAAACTGGATTTTGCCCTAAAATACTGTGAAAAAAAAAGTTGAGTGGCCTATCTTATATAAATTGGTTCCCTCAATCTTTTGTCTGAGTACTTGCAGAGAGGGAAGTCTGGAAGCCAGAATCTGTGTGTGTTTGTGGGGAGAATTTAGTTGCTTAGCCCTGACCCTACTAAGAGATTTGCGAGTCATTTTCAGATCAGCTCTGACTGCATTGTTTGTTTTCTAATGCATAATAAGATTTCATTGTTACTTACATCTTTGGATTAAAGACTATAATCTGTTGATCCCTAAAATTTCATCAGATAATCTGTTTAATCATAAGCAAAAGCTGATCTTGATAGTCCATATGAGTTACGCAAATTAAATCAGGAACATTACTACCATGCAAGTATAGAAGCTTTCAGCAGAGCTCTCTTTCTCATTAGTCCACAATTAAAAGTAGGTTTTTGTCATACTTTAAATTCACGTATCTTTGTCCTGAGGTATAATTGAAATCTCTCATGGAGCCTGACATTAAATGTTGGCACCGTAAAACATCTTAATTTTGAAGCAAGTGTCTGAAATATTTATGATCCACTCGGTAGTGGCTTCGCGATTAATTTTAAATTATTGATAGCACAGTTACCTAGGCAGACCCAAACTCTAGTGCCACAACGCGCTCCAGCGTTCCCTGTCCGTGGAATTTGATGAGACAATTCCAGCGGTGTTCCAGGTGTTCCAGCGGGAGGAGGCCGCTGCCTCCCGCCAGTCCCAGCTCTCGACAGCAGAGGGCGCAGCTGACCGGCCTTCACCGCCGGGACAAAAGGATTCAGAGCGAATCCCTCGCAGTGTTTTTTTCGGGAAAAAAGATCCCTGTGTATCCCGTACAGAAGGAATTGGTTTGCCAGCTAGTAGTGCTACCTCTGGGCTTAACTGCTGCCTATTACTTGGCTTGCAAAAGCTTTGGTTGCTACACCTGACAGCCCATTGTCTTAGCAATTCACTTGTCCTGCTTGGCTCTCAGATTATGTTATTTGAAGCTACAGGACTGGTTTGAGTTTACAAAGACATTGACTACTCCCTGTGGCTGTCAAATCCCACGTGATATTTGCATCATTTTCATTAGAACTGAACCTCAACGAGTTTAAGAAGGGTCCAGTATTTAAAGACTGGCCCTTCTTGACAATAAACTGAATTCTCTCCTCAGAGAGGAGAGAGTGACCATGAATATCACTATTGCATTATTTTACCTATGGGTGGGGGTAGAGGGAGAACCTGAATACTTCCTGGTAGAATTTCATGTTCAGAAGCTATACTCTGGGCCAAACTCCATTTCCAGAAAAAGTCTGTACAGCTCAATCCTTTGTAATTTCTTTCTGAGTCATCAGCCCTGTAGGAACGAGTGTCTGTACTTGGATGAAGCCCTTAAGGAACGGAGCTAGAGGCACTACTGACAATGAGCAAAGAAAATGAAGTCTGTAGTAGACCCAGAGTCATGTAGGAATATTTCTGTTGCTCATCCCTGTTCTCTGGCCTCAGGCTGCTTTGGACTAGTTTGACATTCAGGCCTCATGCTGTGAAATGCTGAAGTAAGCAGACCTGTGTCTGCAATATAGCTAATATAAAGGAACCTGTTCCTGATTAGATCTTAGACTAGTGCTGTACTTGATTTCTGCCTGGCAGCTCATGTGCCAAGTGAAGTATTTCCAGGCATTTAGTTTCTCTGGTTTTATGCTCAGAAGCTGTTATGCTCTGGGTCTCCCAGGAAATCCCAGGAGGTGTAGATTGAGCTGTTATTTGTACCTGGAGTGCTTCACTGCTGCATCAGACACCTGCAGTCTGCATTTCCTTCTTCCTCTGCAGCAGCAGCAGCAACCAGGCAGCAGAGAGCCAATTGCTATATTGGCATTACGTGTACATCATAAATCAAAATTCTGTGTTCAGATGTCGAAATCCTGCACTCACAATAACCAGTCTCTGTGTGGTGTTGCAAAACAATTTGTCCCAGATCCAGATCCCAGCCCGCAGAGGGCAGCCCGACCCCGTGTTTTACTCCAGTGATGTGCTTAACTAGGGAATTCAGTCATCTGCTGGCACCTCCATCGGCATGATTTGCTGTGGAATAAACAACTGAATGTTGTGGAGAATTGGCATCAGCTTTAAGCTCAAACAGATTCAAAAGTGAACTAAAGAAAAAAAAAAAGTGTGACTGAATTAAACCTTCTGGTTTTTTGGGTTTTTTTTTAACACATTGAAAGAAAAATATTGCATGAGAAAACTCATCTAGATCTGAGCTTTAAATACATGTATAACAGATAGATTTATTGGTATGTGTCAACAGGCAAGAGAAAGAAAATAGCCAGAACCTCTGTACATGAACATATTGGGCAAGACTAACAGGAAAAGTGTTGGGTTTTTTTTTTCAAAATATTTTCAGGATTCTTTCAGGATTTGAGTTTATTGTTGCCATGACTCTAGGACTGTGCTTTTGGCTGGTTCTTTCCCAAGTGTGTCCTGAGTCCTTGTGAAGCAGCCATCACAATTTCCAGGAGATTTTTGTCTAGGAGGGTGTGTCTACATGCAGGCATTTGCCTTGGCCATAAAACTGATCAGTGCCAGGTCAGGTACCAGGGGCTGATATCTTGACTTAGTATGACAAGGAGCAAGGCATTCAGTTCCTGAAAAAGAGCCAGTACTTTGTGCTCTCAAATCAAATTGCATCCACCAGCTAATTAAGGAACGATCCTGATATGCTCTGAAGGCAGGCCTGTCCAATTCTATACTTCTCAGCCAGAGGGCCCTGCAATACAGAGCTCAGGATAGAAAATATGTATAAAGAAAATAGCATGTGAGAAATTAAGACAGTGATGTGTGAATTCCAGGAGTACAGGGAGAAACCAAAGTATCTCTTACGATCAGACATCAAATTACACACGGAGGTACTTTCATGATGATTTAGACAATTAATTTTTTTTTGGGCCCAGACTTTCTACCCCACACAAGCCTGTCTGTTCACAGCAGAATGTAATGTATACATTTCTGAGAGTTTGGCTCATGGTAATTGCAACCACAGGTGTGTTTTCCCTCTGATTCACCAAACTTTCCTGTGTATAGCAGTGCTGAAAGATTTTGACTAACTTATTTAGAATATTCTTTGCTACTCATTCCATGTTATTCGTAACCATCTTTGCTAAAGTGAACTTTGACCAAGGAAATGCCTGCCGTGTTTTACATTATATAAAAATCACTCTATGGAAAAGCACACATTTAACAAATTCTAACTGCATAATTTAATTCAGCTTGGCCACAGCAAATTCTTTAGTGTAAAGGGTAAAGCAGGGCACATAGTGAGATAAGTTGATGCAGCTCTGAGAAGTATATAAATAGCAACAAAGGCAGTTTGTGGGATTGTCTCTGTCTCTCCTGAATGCAGCCACTGATGCAGGTGCTCCTTGGTGAAGCCATGCTGTCATTCTGAAATCGCCTCCCTGCTCTCCCTGGGCCTTAGCAGAGCTGCTGGGAGGATCTGTTCCCAGACACAGAGGGGAGGCTGATGGCTCAGTGGCTCCCAGGCTCCTCATTTCTACCCTTTTTAAAAATAGGAGAGATGTTTCCCTTTTTCCACTCACCAGGGACTTCACTTGACTTCTATGACTTTTCCAATATCTTGGAGAGTGGCCTGGCAACTACATCAGCCAATTCCCTCAGGACTCCGGGATGCATCTCATCATCTCCCACAGATGTGTGCTCACAGCTCTTATTCACAGTACATACTTCACACATGACTTTGGGACTACCTGCTGCAAAACCTGGTAAAGTTTCTGACTCTGAGCTCTTTGTGGGCATCCTCCTGGTAAGGTTCACACACAGGGGTGATGGTGAAGTTCTTCAGCAGAAGTGCTGAACCAATATTTAGATGACATTTCCAAAGCTGAGTCTTAGAAAATAATTTGTCATTTTGGCCTTTGTGTCCCAAGTTCCTGCAGGTACAGCAGTAATTTTGATGGAAGAGCAATACAGAGTAGGTATTCACAGGCTTATCTGAGGGACTTCCTTAGTTTTCAGAATTGCCAATATTTCTGGCTTATATAAAACCTATTTATGCATTTATGTGATGGCATCATCTTACATAATCTGTGTAAAACTTTCTGGGTTATTCAAGTCTGGTAGTCAAGACTGACTCAGGATAACATAAGTTCAATACTGTAACTTTTGCTGTAAAAGTGCATATTCCGCAGAACAGTATGGAGGGTTGAATAACATGTAGAAGACAGGAGTTTTTTAAGAAAACCAGAATAAGAAGAAACCAGGAAGATGACTCTGGGATTTGTCTCAGGAGAACCTCCTATCTTTTTGAATTTTATTTTTTTTTAATTGATAAGTCTCTTTTTATATATGTGTGTGTGGGAATTTGGGGAAAAAAGTAAAAACTTAAGCAAAGATTTCTATTAATATTTGGTGTGAGTAATTTGGAGCTCAGTTCTCCTTTGAAATGTATAAAAGGGAAATTTTCTCCAAAAAGATTAGTAGGAACTGCCCTGGAATCTCAGTGTAATCACAGAAAGGCCACGTATTTATTTTAATATCTTGTCCATTACTGACTAATTGCAAATTCTAGTAAGAGTCTTATATTGAAAGTAGGAGAGCTGTCTTGCTTTCTTGTCATTCATATCACAGAAAACTATTTATTCTGAGCTTATTAAAATTCTGATTAAATTATCAGGCTTAGTAATGCTCTAGATTTTGTTAGGTCTGATTTCCCTGAAAAAGAAGCCAGTGGAACTATGGTGGAAAAATTTGTAGAAAAATACAGTAATTTCCATCCTTATTCAGACCAATCTTGGTCATCCTTTCCATTTGCCTTGCCCACAGAAGTTGTTCTTGGAAACTTACTTCTGTAAGAATTTGTCTGTTGTTCAAAAAAATTCTGATTTTTCTCACAATGATTTTCAAGAGGAAAGATCCTGCATTGTGCAAAAATAAGTATATTCTGACTGATGAGTTATCTGCATCAGGCAAAGATGCAATGCTGACTTTTACCTGTTTTTTTTATTCCCTATATCGTTCTGTACTGATTTTCATGGGAAAAAAATAGATT